ACAATAATAGTATGCTTCTGGTTACTGCAATTACTGTTGTAAGCTACCCCTTAACGTTGTTGTGGATTATACTTTACATAATGATTTGCCGATCATTTTAATAATGCCGATAAGAGTTGACGATCCTATCGTGAATAAGCCCTCACTATGATAAGGGTGGGTGCTTATTCACAGTAGTATACGGTATTAGGTTTTCTGCTCAACATATAACGTCTTTTTGTGGCATCATAGGAGTCAGCCTCTGTCACAGCAAACTCCTCATACTGGTTAGTTAATAACTGATTAAGATCATGTGGTTTTTGTATACCATAATTTGTGGCACTGCTATTCTTACACTTGCAGACACTACAGCTTCAGACCTCACAGCATTTCTCACTAGTTGTGGGCTAACTCAATATCAGGATAAGTTCATTGAGAATGGCTACACTAATATGTCCAACTTTACCAATTATGAGCCCGATGATATATCTGAAATGGCCAATGTTATAAACCTCCTTCCTGGCCACAAGGCAGATTTAAAGGTTGCAATACAGAAGCTCAAGGAATCTACTGGTAAATAGACATTATTATTAGGGTTAATAGAGGAGAGGAGCAACAGAGAGAGCAAGAGAATAGTTCAAATACTGGTGTAATAGGTGCTTTTTGCTATGGTGAAAGTTATGTTGTGACTTGGGCATTGTAATTGGGGGACATAGAGTAGACATTATACATTTACTCATCCCATCACATTTTCTACAACCTGATTTCTTAACTTCCTGTTTTTCTCACTCCCTATCCCATCCATACTGTTTCTGGTCTAGGAATTCAATGTTCATGTCACCTTCAGAGTCAGATATGTTCCTGGTCAAGAGTGTGTTTATGTAGAATCTTGCTTTGTTCATCCCTGAGAGCTGACATTTATATGCTTTTGGTGTGGACCCCATACCTTCACAGCAGCCAATGGAGCACACCCTGATATCAACTTCTACATTGAACCAATAAATGCAATTCAGAAACTGAGCACATACCTCATTCAAGGCAAATTTTGTCTTGTATATGGACACCATCAGAGTGGAAAAACAACAGCCATTTATGCTACAGCATGATGGCTTGCATGTCACTCAACTTAGATCAAAGTTAGGGGCTTTGGTTGTGGTCTACAGATCTATGTGATATCTTTTAATGGTGGCATTCAGTTAGAATGTGGAGTTGATGAGTTCTGGTAGACTATATGTCACAAGTTGAAAGTCTTGGACAAAGATCAGTTCCCTTTCAATGAGCATAAGCCAGTATCAGCAGCCACATTTGAGACCTTTTTTCAATGAAAGCAGGAATCACTACCTGTTGTTCTTGTATTTGATGAGGCTTCAGCTCTGCTTAACCATGACAGAAAAATCATTGAGGACTTTATGGTATATGGGTGTGCTGCATCTTCTGAAAGATGGCTGTGACCAATTCTGTCTACACTCTTTTGCACTTGTAGGCATTGAAACCATCAAGAAGCTCCTGACTCTGAGTTCTCCATTTATATTTACTGCAGAGGCAACTGTTAAGCCAGACCACTTCATTGAAGCAGATATCAAAATGCTCCTTGATGAACTTGAGTCAGCTGATATTACAACTGAAACAATTGGTTGTATGTCAGACATCTCTCTTGACACTGAAGCTTGGCTTCTGCTTCGAGTTTGACGAGGACTGGCCGAAATAGCGCGTTTTCTCTTGGTCATGTGATAGGAAAATTTATAAGTACAGTCAAGCACGGTACTTAAAATCTCAGGAATTAGCAAATTCTCTATTACTATTACTATTCTGCACGTGCAACGGATTTCACAATCCCAAGGGTTATTACCAAATGTCTCGAATCATTGACAACTTTTCTTTTGATTCATTGGCACCATACCAATCAATCGTTGATTTTTCTGAACCAACTTCTCGTATTTTCCCCGAATCATCATCCGACATACAGTGGGTGATCAAAAGTATTCGTCACTTCTTGAAATTTATTAGTAAAACATATTAATATGAAAAGTACTTTTTTTTTTCGAAAATCTCTATTGCCCATATGTACTATGTAACCTACAAGTCCTGTTTATGTTATCGCAGTACCCGATGAAGTGGCGGAATTTATGTTACACAGATGATGATTTTCATACATTTATATGTGTAAACAAATAAAGAACGCAAAATTCCACTATAATTTCCCCTTCAATTAACGCGTCTATTCCTGCGCGTCTCCAAGAAATTGAGCATATATTTTGGCATCCTTCCAATGCTTTGATACAAATTCTACGCAAACTCCACGAATCAGATTATGCTCAATTTCCTTGTATTCCCTTTTCATATTGTTCGCGTTTACTATATCCTTATCAAGTCAAGTGGATTGTTCGCCAAACCAACTACACGTTTCCATTCGAGTGTGTATATACTCACGTACCTTTAACTGTCCAGCCACATAATAACATGAAAGTAGCAGTGTGTGCATCGTGCAAGTCAAAGCCCTCCTCATGCCCTGCCCTGGCTGGGATTCCTACCTGTATTGAAAATGTGCCATATGGAAAGCGAAAATATTTATCACCGTATACTTACACTCGAGCCTTGGTAGATCATCGAATCTGTCTGCCTATTCAGAATACCGATCACTTAAAGGGCAGTTTGGATATTCAAAGAACCTGCGATCGCTATCGCTTTACTCTAGCATGCTAGGCGCATTTCTTGAACATATAGATCAATCATTCGCAGAAAACCGCTGGTATCATTTAAACTAGGCACATCACAATACTCGGGAGGAAAGTCCGGTGACAACAAAACCGCAGACTTGAGCTTATATGTCACCACGAAATCGAGCGGTCGCATCTATACTCGAGGACCAAAAAACTGCGTCGTGGCTCGCGGCTATTTCTGTCCGCGACCTTGACGTCGCAAATAGCTGCATGCTCGTAGAAATAACAATCTCGAGTATATTCTCCCCTCCGACTTCTCGACCTGTCTGACACTCCCTCTCCCACAACAACAACGGCGCATGATCACAAGCCACCAATTCCTCCTCTCCTCCTCCTCTACTACAACTACTGCCATCAATACAACTGATGTTACTGAGACATCACCGCCCAACACAAGAAATAAACGAAGGCAAATTGCAGGAAAGACTGCTCCTACAAGTGATGTCTCTACTGACACCTCCTCTGTTAGCAAAACGACAAATTAAGAAAATCTCAGACCTTGCTTCCGCAAGACTCAATCTGACGCCTTTTTTTACTCTTTGCCAACTTAATAGAAAAGTAATCAAATGACTCAATTATTGACTGGGATACGACGCATAAACAAGAATAGGAATAATATTTTATACAAAAAACTATTTAGTGTTTTGTTGTAACAGAATTACTCATAACAATACGAGACCAATGCAAATAAAAATAAAATTTGTACCTTTTGTATAGGAAGATACATGAATTCCCAACATATAAATGTAATATCCAAAAATAGTAAACGTTGTAAATAGCGATCTCTGTCATCCGCCGTTGAAAATCAAGTACTGTTAATACGCTACTTCTGTAGATACAATCATCATATCACGTGCGAAGCACCAACTTGAACAATTAATAGAAATATGTACTGGCACCACAAGGTGCCAGATATGTCTTGATGTGTAGTAACAGCACAGTAAACTAGGGGCGCCCTCGAAAAACTCAATGAGGTTTCCTTTAAAAGGTCAATAACATGAATTTGAATTTTATTGGTCAATTCCTTCTGTACTATATAAATATATAAACACACATTGTCCAAAAGCTCTGCTACAACATCGAGTTACAATGTTCCAGCGTACACCAGCCCGAAATCTCCGCTTTTTGCGTATAGCTGTCGGCTTGGCGATTGCAGGTTTTCTGGTTTGCTATGCCATGACCTTTATCGGAGATAGTACAAGACAAATGTTCTTGAGGACAAAATATATAGATCCTCACGCGGATCCCAGCTTGTTTGCCAACACCCCTGAACGATTAAAAGCTGCAATCGTTATACTGGTCAGGAACAGCGAACTAGACCAATTGTTGCTTACTCTTAAGCAATTTGAAGATCGCTGGAACAAGAAATACAATTATCCTTATGTCTATCTAAATGATGTGCCTTTCACTGAAGAATTTATAGAACAAACTTCTGCCATGACAAAGGCTAAAACTTATCACGGTAAGAGTGTGCATTTATAGATTCAGGTAGCTTCCGACTGCAAATCCTTTATATCTTCCCAGATGGCATCGCGTTCCCAAATGGTCACGTATCGAAGAGGAGGCGATTCATGATAAATAAAAAACTTTTCACATCTCAAAAAAGCAGGACGTTGACTGTTTGATGGTCGTCCCTTCGTCAACTAAACTAACAACAAACGAACTACATCTTTCAGATATAAAAGAAACAGAGTTTACGAAAGAATGGCAAAGTAGTTAATATAATGATTCTGTGTAAATAAAGTGTTTTTATTTTCCAAGACTAATATATATTTAGTGTTTGGAGGTCGACTCTCGTTTTCTTTAATAATGCAACGCGGAAGATAGCAATAATAAGAAACAATAAGATTGACTTACAATCTGTTAGGCGTACAATTACAGCGCTTGGTCGATGGACAAACGAAATACTTTATTTACACAAAGTCTAGAACGAGACAAGATTTATATTCGTATTCTTTATGTAGATTTTTTTTTCTTTTCTGCAGTTGGAGGACTTTAAATTGTTTGTCTGGCACGCACTATCAATTAGGAAACGTGTCATTACTTGAGTGCGACTGGCACCTGCAGTCGGAAGCTGTTGCCAAATCTTATAATGTATTCCGTTATCAAGCCATTCTCATTACTCATCTTTTCTCAATTTGTAGCCACAATTCCCAAGGAGATGTGGAGCTATCCGTCATGGATTAACCAGACAAAAGCGGAAACCACACGTGCGCAGATGGAACTCGATAATGTACCATACGGAGGATTAGAATCGTATTACCACATGTGTCGTTTTAATTCTGGATTTTTCTTTCGCCATCCCCTTCTGGACGAATATGATTATTACTGGCGTGTTGAGCCCGGAGTTGATTTCTATTGTAACATCGACTACGATCCATTCGCCTTTATACAAAAGAACAATATCACATACGGATTCACAATATCACTGAAAGAAATCGCAGAGAGTATCCCCACCTTATGGAAGACTGTCAAAAAATTCATCAAAAAGTATCCACAATATGTCTCACCTGACAATTCTGCAAAACTTATATCGGACAATAATATGGAAACTTATAATCTGTATGTATAAACTCGTTTTTTTTTTCTTTTTTATAAAAACAACCTTACATATATTCATTGTATTATATTCTACTTATCTTACCCATATAGATGTCACTTTTGGAGCAACTTTGAAATCGGTGATCTGCGCTTTTATAGAAGCGAAGCATATCTAAAATTTTTTGAATATTTAGACAAATACGGAGGATTTTATTACGAACGGTAAGTTTAACAGTGTGCGAAATAATGTCATTTGTGAGCGATGCAAACACCTTTCATACAAATCGAAAAATTTCAGATGGGGGGATGCGCCAGTCCATTCCATTGCGGCCGCTCTCTTTCTAGATAAGTCCAGAATACATTTCTTCAACGATATTGGCTACAAACACGGAGATTTTGGACACTGTCCACCAGAACGAAAGGTTCGCAAGTCTGGCAAGTGTCAGTGTGATCCTGAAACTAATTTTGGTAATTACCGTTTTTATTCATGATTTGTGGATTAAAAGATGAAAATAGTGATTCTAATTCTCTCTTTTCACTAAAAGACGGAACTCAAGATTCGTGTCTGAATCAATATTTCTCGTCGTACATATGACGACAATCCGACAATGTTTGTGAGACATTCTGTATCTTAATAATCTAGATATCGAACATTTAAAGCACGATGTTGCTAGCATCGTACAATGACTACGACTAATATCCAAGGACTTTGTTTATAGATTAAACTGATTATTTATTTATTGATATATTAATTATTTTATAATAACAGTTTCATTTAAGAATAATTTAGATGCTCACCATTAATAATCAATCTATAATAGATATTCAACAACGTATGTGGTGATACATAAATTGACAACGTAGTGTAACTTCTCTGCATATTAATAAAATATATTACAATTACGACTGCTCAACTATTATATTAGTATTAGTAGCCACACATTTACGGATTCGAAGATAACAAAGCCATCAGTAAAGAAGAAATACTCATTGTACCTATTAGGACAGGTGAAGTGTCACACAATCTGAGTTATAAACACCTCTATTTTGGGTTTGTTCCTGTGGTGAATATTGAGGCTGTTACAAAGTAATCGGCAGCCTCAAATTTTATTTGGTTTTACATTTACTATTATAGTCGAACAATAAAAATAAGCATGGCAAAGAATTATTACAACAGGAACTGATAAAAAAGCATTATTGAAAGAATAAAATTTCCCGGACAACATAGCGATGGATTGTTTCAGTAGGAGTTAAAATTAGCCTCACAGCGGGAATTTGGTTATTGGATAATAATAATAATAATAAGCCCCTCGGTTAACTTGCACAAAATTTCGTTAACAATGAAGATCTGTTAATAATAAAGATTTTCTCCAAACCAATCATTTTTGAGTACAGTCGCACCACGATATAATCACACCATCGGGATCTCAAAAAAAAAAGGGGGTCATATCAAATTGTGCAGTTGACACTGTTTATACCGAACTCTGGATATAACGAATCTCTGGTAATAGCAAACTCGGGTTATTACGAACGAAAACTCTTCAGCCGGGCAGTTCGGTATAAACAGTGTAGAGGTATTTCTTCATAAATGTATGTGACTATAAAAATTTGTGCTTATATAGAGGGCGTTTTTATAGTTGGTTTTTGAAATATTAAAATATCAAGGTTTTCATATGATGTGACTATATTAATATCGAGTGTGACTATAAAAGGCGACGTGATTCCGCTCAATGGTACAAACATCTCCGATCTGTGGCACAGTGAATATTTGGCACACAAGCGACAGATTCGACCGCATCGGGACAAATAGAAATATAGATGACCCGATATATCGAAATATTGGTGTCAAATGCATTTAGGAGAGTTGACTGTATAAAAAATGTAAATGCAAATTATTTTCTAAATAAGAGGGCTTCAGTACATCATTGGAAGCTGAGTTTCTCTACTCTTGATGATACAGAGATAGTAAATAATTTGCACTGTTAATATCAGGTATTTACATTTCATAATTATAATGGGATGATGATGAAAAAAGAGAGCATTATAAAGGCGCTATTTAATAAGGGAGGTGTGGTGTATGAAGGTTGGCTAAACACAAAGCTTCCCCGTGAAGGTACACAACATTACTTACTATTACCTGTCTGAGTCAGTTGTGTACTTCTTTAGCCTTGGCTTCTCATATTTTTCCAGCTTCTCCCATCATAGTCGTAAATCGTCCTTTTCACTGATTGGCATCAGAACGTTCATCTGTGAATAAAAGTAACTTTAATAATAATAGACGATAAAAGACAAGCTCCTAGCAATCGAATTTAACAATATAAATTTAGTTTATATCTAATTGCTCTTTTATCTAATCAGTACAAAGACGGTCAGTTATTGCTTAGATTTTCTATTTTTATTCCTAAACCAATTATTCGATGCCCTTTATTTGCTCGAACCTGGAATACCCAATGGTTCTCTGTAGATAACCTTAGCTTCTTGCTCTTGATTTGGCTGTAAACTAGTTAAATGCTTCTCTACGAGTGTTTGACTGGTAGGAGGCTTTTGTCCTTGGGAAAATAATAATTGGTGTTTGCTAATTTCATTTTTTAAAGCTTTTTCAATATTAGTTAGCGAGTTAAGTTTTTTATCTCATAACGGGGGGTAGAATAATTATCCCCCAATTTCAAGGAATGCTGACCGAAGCGAAAGCAAAATTTTAGCCGAAGCCCAAGATGTAATTCAGCAAATTTACTCGCCTAAAAAAGATTTACCAAGTCTAGCCCGAGTAGTTATCCAAAATGAAAAAGGAGAAGTTCTGTTAGTGAAAGATAAAAAATGAGGTTGAAATTACCCCGGGGGAAAAATAGAAGAAGAAGAAACCAACAGCTAACTTGCCACCAAACCTCTTTTCTAATTCTAACTTAGCACTTATTAATTCTTCATGGTCTAGTTCACAAAATTTCGTTAAATCGTTAGGTAAAAAAGACGATGACTGAAAAACTGGTCGAGAAAGCGAATATTTTAAAGCCCTATGTTGTAAATGTTGAGAAAAAACTTTTAACATTAAACAGATCAGTTGGTTCGGATTATTCTTTTTACTGACTACGTTATTTAAGTCAATGATTTGAATGGATTTATTTCGCATTTCTGGTTATTGTGATTACTGTTAGATAACTCCCTAAAATTTATTGTTTACGTGACGGGTGCTTGTTCACGAGGATAAACTGTGAATAACCAACATACCTGCAAAAGATTGCGATATGTTGGTTATCACTTACTTGATATTGAGCCTACTTTACTCAATTAAACAAAATATCTTGCTTCGTTAACGAGAAAATAAAATTTTAATTAAATTATATTAACATTAAATTTTCGCCTAATTGTAATAGAAGCCTGTGAATTTGTCTACAAATTACAGGTTTGAAACATTTGAGTATATATATAATCAAATTTCTAACATTTCCTTGCTTATAATGTCATGTTAAGATGGTCGGTTTTTCCTCCAATCTCTCGCGTCCAAGAGCTATTCTCCAATAGAAGACCGCGTTAAACCTCACTAAGCTCTCGGTAAAAAGTCTGCTGAATATTATTTGAAGCTCAAGCGCTGGTTTCGTGTATAATAATAAACATGCATGTATTCGTGATTTCAAAGTATATTGATAGTGATTTGATAATATTAAAAGCGTAAATAGACAAATTTAATTAAAATTTTATTTTCTTGCCAACGAAGCAAGATATTTTGTTTAACTTTTTTGTGTCAAATAGCGGTCGGTTATTTGCGCTTTCGAATGATACAAATTTTAGGGACAGTATACATATAGATATTTTTTTTACAATTTTTAAACTTGTACGTGTATTCCGAATTTTGGTATTTTTAGTTGAGAGTAAAGTAAGCTTTGGGTAAGTTCGTAGACAACATATCGCAATTTAAGGTGCGCTAACTCGGATATTAAGCTCATCACAATCATACCCATTATTCGTTATTCGAAGGGATCAGTGACTTTAACTTGCTAGCAGAAAGTAATTAACCTAACCATTGTAAAGGACCTGTTACCATAATCAATTAGCCCAAAGAAAAATTATTCCTTACGTAGTATGATCACCCTTCAACCTTGATAAGTCTGTCATGCATAGTGGACCGACTTATCGAAAGATTTTAAAATATTAATATTGAGAAAAGGGTCAAGTTTGCATCCGTTATCCACGGCACGTTTTGAGACGCTGGACTATTTCGATGATAAATATCTATGTATATACACGTAATGAAGCGCTCTGGATCGTGTTGTTCAGCGACTTCCCTTTCGAAATCAAAAAATTTATTATTATGGTACACTCCCCTGACAAAAGTCGCGAGACTGTTCTAAATTTTACTAGTAAAACATATGAAAAAACCCTTTTCTTCAAAAATCTCTATTTCTGCAAACACTATATACGTGGCAATAATTTGTACATGGTTTTGAAACTAATCGACTGTGCTGTTTGAAAAAAATAACAGAAAATTTTAACACATTATTATTATGAAGTTGTAGCTAGATATATGCTATACATATAAAAATATACTAACCCAGATACCCGTTACATGGGAGATTAATAATAATAATCATTAAATTTTACTGTTATTTCTCTTTTCAAAAGTGCCGTCAATTACTTTCAAACCCATATAAAAATTATTATCACTTACATAGTGTTTGCAAACAAGAGAGATTTTCGAAAAAAAAGGATTTTTCTTATGTTTTACTAGTAAATTTTAGAACAATCTCATGACTTTTGTCAGGGGAAATACTTATTGTAAAGGTATGTTCCTCTTTTTTAAACAGAATTCCACAACTCTACAAACATACAAATTATCGATTATTACAGCTCAATTAACAGTTCATAAACGTCAGATTGCGCGGAAGTATTCTGAGGGAATATTAATGCTACAAGTAAACTATGAGTATGATTGACCCAATACACAAAATACCCAAAGAAACGAAAACAGTAGAAACGAGAGCATTCTTGTTCATGATACTTTAGGATTTTTTACTCTAATTATTCTCTGCAGAGAATGTGTTATTGGTTTGCAGCGACAACTTTTACATCACGTAATTCCAATCCTGCTTTTCAGGAGACACATGGTTGAATGGAGACACTCAAGTTGCATGTTCATTAGTTTTCTTCTTTTCTCTCTCTTGTTTATTTCTTCCTTGCATTTCTATGGTGACAGGTTGAATTTAAGTCGGGTGACCCGCTGGCGGGAATTTTAAATAATTTTTATATCTAACTCTAAATCCCCAAGACACATGCATGTGCAATACGTCTTTTGTAGCTCTTCCTCCCATTTGTTCGCATTAAGATCGGGAAGAATAGCTTTGGGTAAGTACAAGTCTGATCCTAACCTTTTCGTTTGCTAGATGCGAGGGAAAAGAAAGAAAGTGAAGATTTAGTAGTGCGCTCCATATAGTCATCAATGAAAAAAAAAAAATACAATAACTGGTTCTTGATCGATTTGTCTAATCGCCAGCTTGTTAATTCCTTTATCACCACTGGAATTGTGTTTCACTGTTGGCTACTCTGTATAGATTGTGGGAGGTGGCAAGCATGTAGAAAATGTGTTGTACCTTTTCTTCTTCTGTGGAAGCGCATTCATTCCGGTTCGTCGTTTTCCGTCTTTTGTAGTGGCACTTGCGTGATCAACACGAACCGTACGCCCTAGAATCTATAGAGCTTCATTCAATCATCAATCCAGACATTCTCGGTTCATCTGTCAAATACTTACCTTGATACCGTTGAGATTATCTACTGCGAGTATCGTACTTCTTTGATCTTCATATCTAATAAATGCAAATCCCTTCGACTTTCCTGTCTGCTGATCGCGAATCAAATCTATATTCAATATTTCACCATATCTGTTGCCAGTTTATTAAACATTCTTAGTAAATAAAGCTAATTAATAAAATTCGGTGATACAATTTGTGATGAACGAACGAAAACTTACTGAGAAAATACACATATAATGTCTCCTTCTGTGAGCTCAAATGGGATATTACCGACAAATATGTAAGGAGAATCCGCATACTGATTGTGCCAAGAGCCCGTCTCGGAGATGTTGCGCTCTGCCTCACGAGCATTTATACGAAGGATTTCTTTGGTGACGCTGTTTGAGTCGAAAAGAAGTAATTTTGACTGGGTAAACAGGTTATATTACTGTAAGCTGTGCTATGAGGGTTTACATTAGCGTTAAATAAACACTCACTTCATAACTTGAGAAGAACGAAATTCCAGTGATTATAGTAACTTGGTTCACAATTAAATTATTTGCCACGTGATTAATAAGATAGTCGCGTAACTAAGAATTTGTGGTTGGGTTCAAAAGGCTTGTTGGCGAATTCAAAGAAAGACTATTAACATAGGCATCGAGCTATACGAGAATCGCAGTATTTATGCTCACAAATTTAATGGTAAATTTTATTTTAAATCAGCTGCTACCCAATTTACAACTCTTTCTATGTCTAAGGATCTCAATCGGACTAAACGAATAATCTTTCCCACAAATATCACAATGGAAATTCTTTTCCTGTTCATTTTTCCCTTCCGCTACATTCTTCTTCAGTTTATCAACCAGATAATCAATATACTCACTCTCACTCCCACTCTCGTCCATAATATCGTTAGCCTCCCTACCACATTTCATCATATGTTCCTCAATTTCCGTTTGATTAAAAGTAAAGTCCGCATTGCATTTTTCACAACGCCAATAAGACCGATAGACGTAGTCACGCCTTTTGTTTGCTGTGACAGAGTCTGCTGAAAAAGATGTCGTTCCAAGACTGCTGAGATGGACACTATTCCACCGCAGATAAGACGTTACTTGAACTCCAAGCTTTACCACTATTGTAGAAAGAAAAAGACAGTGAACATGACAGGATAATATGCATTTGATTAATAATCAAAATTCACCTTTTTCGGAATCCCATATTGATGAATCTTCTTCTTTTAAAGTCTGGCCAGAAGACTGAGGGAACTAAACCAAATTCATTGGTGCTTAATTCTTTGCAATCAATGATTTCAAGACAAAAAAATTTAATATTCTATGTTACCATCAACAACAGCTCGGAAGTTTTGGCGCGTCCAGTTTCGCACGTAATCAGTGAATCCATGAAACCAGCTAGTTTATGCGACAACTCTTCCGATAACGCTGAAAAATCATCTTCATCGTATTCTTCCTCGTACTTGTTCATTAGCCACTCATCCTTATATATCTTTTGTATTGCGGGTGGCATTGTCAGGAGAATGTCATCAGGAACTTTGTCTCTCACAGCATCTCTTTTGTTTTTGGAGAAACTAGCCTATGAAATAGTCGCAATCGTCAATAGTCCATCTTACTTTCTCCGTATCGATCGAGTTTGCGCGTAGGACACAATTGCATTCTCATTATTCTCACTAGCCCTTCTCACCTTTCGTTTACCACTCTCTAGTTTCCGTTCGACCAATAAGCCCCATAGTTTCCTCAGCTGATAAGTTATGACTAGCACTTTTTCCACTTTTCTCGCACCGTGAAACCGCAGTACCAGATAGTCATCGACGACAATTAACGAACAGTCGGCATTAGTATCGATGGATTTGCCAAACAGAAGACACGTATGTACTGTCGGAACACGCATTATGTTCACAAGATACGGTTTATTGGTTTCCAGTAACTGAACATAGGCTAAGAGTTCGTCATTTGTATCTTTTGGTAAAACGCCGGATCGAGTATGAGACAGCGATACAAAAAAAAAATAGATGGAAATGATATCAGAAAGGCTTGAAGATAATACCCGACTAGAACAGAAGAAGGGAGGACCTCGACAGTTTGATTGTAAGTACCAGATCCTCGACCAGAAACAAGCCAATCCGGGTTAGCATAGAACACACTTGTTGGATGAATGTTCAAGAACCTATTTTGAAATTGATATAAAATGAGGATGAAGAATACACGGACATCTGGGTCATGACCTTTCATTAAACAAATACCGTTTAGTTTTTGTATGAAATATCTGCTCATTTATTTTTCTCACTTCGTTGTGTTCGTCTTCAACGGCGAGCTGCGGATACAATCCTAAATTAATTATTTACTATTAGTCTATGATATGAACATGCCAACAATGGACCAAATGATTAACTTTGACGGATTACCTGAACAAATAATAAGTTTCAGAACATTTATATCTTTTTCGGAGGCAAGTGCAGACGTTGACCTGAGTAAACAAATATGTTAATCAATCTCTTTACAATAAAAAAGACCATACGAAAAGCCTGTTATACAACTTTTCTCGAAGAGATTCAGCATCATGAGACAAACTAAATTCGAGGTCGCGTATATCTATGTGTTCAAGATCCGTATCTGTCAACGCAAAAAAATGGTTACTATTTGTGTTCCAGAAATTGTCAACTTCCTGAAATTTCGATCGGTGATTCTACAAATGATATATGATAAATGCTCGAAAAAGAGTATAATATTGACAAGATTGCAAGATCATAAGGCATGCCACTTGCAAGAAGCCTATGGAGTTCTTAGAAGTTCCCACAACGATCATAAGGCAGGCCACTTGCAAGAAGCCTGCCGTAGTTGGCCCCGGGAGCTTCTATACTGTCTTGCCAGATAACCATAACCATCTGACCAATGATGTATGTACCATCTCGTTCTTCTTCTCCTTCTTCCTGAAACTTTAGTATTTTTCTTCTCTTTGATGATTTCTGAATATATTTTTGCCGGCGAAGCAAATGTTGTTGTTCTTTCCGTTTACGCATGTCGCGCTGATAAATGCAATCAATACGCGCTTCAGTTTAACAGCTGAAACGGTTGAAGGTATGTTGGTCAAAAGATGAGAATTAACATACCGCACTCATCCGCTCGCGCTCTTGTTCTCGTCTATTGTTTTCTTGCGAGATCAGGCCTGCATCACCCATGATATCTTCAAACTGTCTTTTTAACTTGGTTATTTCGTATAATCGTTGCTCTTCGACGCCATGACGTTTGCACCACGATCGCGATGATTCCTTCATAGCCAATATACATAGAGCATTAAAATTTATAAAGCATATGATAGTCGTTCGGTCAATACCGTTTAATTACCGATCGATCGGCTTTGATTTTGACCCACTCTTGCCATAAATTAAGTAGGGTAAACGGATCTCCATGAGACGAGTCTAAAGTACGACGATTCTGTTAAGTTAAATTTGTTAATAAATAATATTGTAATCAGAAGACAAAATTACGCTACATCATACCTGAATTACTTCTGGTTTGGGATTATTTCCTAAGCGTACGAATGGAGACTGTATGTTGAGTGCTGCTGCTATGGTCACCACTGGCTCTATCAGATCAAATACCTACAAGGTTTAAACACAATCATTAATAGCACTGAATTTCTATTGACGTGTCGTAATCAAAATTATCTATTACCGTAGCCATTACAAGCATCTTCCCCAAGATTACATCTATTGGCAAGTTAGAAAGGACTCTGCCAAGCGCTGCCAGATTCTCGCGGTCGTCGAGGGCACCCAACATTTGTAAGAATTTTATTGAAGATTCGATTGATGCCGTTGGCGGGCGCTTTTTTTTTTTTAGTGTCGGTTAGTATTCTACCAAAATGTTCCCAAAGCAATATATTCTATGTTTGACTAGATTCGTTGTTACTTACTTCAACAAAATCAAAGTCTCTTGGATCGCCGAGATCAAGGGCCTTCAATTGCAGAACAATAGGTTCAACAGGCACCCGAAGAATCTCTGGTATGGCAAAATCATTCAGATGTTGATATTCGCGTTCAGAGTATAACCGATAACATATGCTGTAAGAGACAAGAGAGTATGATGTGGTTTGCTTCTTGGTAAAACCAGAACATGTATTTCGATTAGCTATTAATTTCTTTTACTTACCCTGGTCCAGTTCGTCCAGCTCTTCCTAAAGTGTCATATCAATGTGGTATACATGTTAACCAAAATTGCATCAGAGACTAAACAATTATGTGCCACCATACCAGCACGCTGCTTAGCACTGGCTTTCGAGATCCAAAACTCTGATAATTTATGTAGCCCTTCATCGTGTCCTAACTCTTTCACCCTGCCTAACATCAAAAATTGAATTGGGATCGTTAACATGATAATGATAAAAATTAATCCGAACTCTAATATAAAGTGACTTGTTTGTACCGGAATCAATGATAAATCGTATTCCATCAATAGTGACAGACGTCTCTGCAATGTTGGAAGAAATAATACATTTTCTAATTCCTTCTGGTGCAATGTCAAACACCTTCGAAAAAACAAAAAGATTGTTGATAAATCGTTGTTGTTCCCACGTTATTAATTGATACAACATTCTCAAGTCATGATTTCACTCCATCGGTATCATATAAACACCTTTTCTTGTTCTTCAACTGATAGCGAGGAATGCAGCATCAATACAATCCACCGTTTGGTATAACTTGCATATAACTTCACTTCTTCAGCCAATTGTGAGATTTCGTTTATTCCACTCATGAAAATTAACAAATCACCTCGTTCGTTAGCAGAGTATGTTTGATCTATTTGTTCCATAATTTGCAAGTATGGTGTTGAGTCGATGCGGTCGGATTTAGCCGGGATGGAATACTTCCAACACAGAGAGACGTGAGTAATAAACATTTACGGGTTATAAGAGCGCTAATAAAATAAAAATAAAAATGTACTTTGATCTCAGCTTCAAGCCTTGTTTTGTAGTTCTTATCGTCAATGAGATTGATGTCTTCCTCGTTGTGTGGGCGATAGAGAATTTCGACGTCGTACATCTTTCCCGGAATCTAAATAGTACGAAAGCCAAACTTAGAGAAATAAAGATAAAAGTACGTGTGTTTATTACAAATGTATCCTCATACTGTTATTGTCGGTGCATCAAAATATTTTGAAAATAGTTCGCTGTTAATCGTAGCAGACATTAATACAATATAAATATCCGCACGATCTCGTAATAGCTGCTTTAACACTCCGAGTAGAAAATCACCTTTAGTAAAACAAGCAATAATTCTTGTTAGCAATTTTGAAAACAAATTATCTTCATCCCTATCACTAAAAATGTCACAAAGTTCTTACCCATCAAATGTCTCTCGTGAACTTCATCTACTATGATGACATCATATTGAGCCAACCAATTGTCACTAGCATATTGGCGTAGGAGCAAGCCTTCTGTCAAGAAGAGTATGCGTGTTCTATTCGATTTTATACCTTCAAATCTGACCTGAAATTGATATCAACTCGATTAGTAAGTGAAATGATGACTTTTAAGTCGTATGGTCGGTGCAGATTGACGATAACCTGATAACCGATCTGAGATCCATATGCATTCATAGTTTCGTAACTAGTATAATGAGAAAATATAAAAAAATTATCGTTTTTCTGAACTAGATAATATTAAGATTTAAATCGATTACTCACAAGATGGCAAACTTACCCAACTCTCTTGGCAAGAGAAAAGCATGCGATCCTCCTGGGCTGAGTGCAAGCGATCTTTTGAAATCCTGCTTCCATCAAATACTGTGGTACTTGTGTTGACTTCCCGCATCCTACGTTGTTGTAGACAATCAGCATTCAAGCCACCACTCGACATTATAGATGAGATAAAGAAACATACCGGTATCTCCAGCGACGAGAATGACGCGATATTGACGAAGCGCTTTCAGTATTACATCTTTAAACGGAGCAATCGGCAATGCTGCACGATCCTAACAGGATCAATAAAACGTCAAGTGTAAGATGTTGGAGATATATCAGCATCGGTCCTCAGGAATTCATATTTAGCTTTCGTTACTACAGACTAACCTTTTGAATCTTCTCTTTTGTTGCGGCGTCCTTCTTTCTCTTAAAATCATCAAACAACACCAGCGCATATTTCATAGATTTTAACTCTTCTGACGATTTTGTGAGACGTTTTTGTGAAGGTTGTTCCTCAGCAAGTTGTTTCAATTTGATTTTTCGATGGGATTTATATTTTACGAAAAATTCTAAAAAAAGGGGTTATGTTATGTCAATCTACAGTTTACGTCCTTCCAAGTTGACTTTATATATTGATTAACAAGAGAATGGGATTCAGATTTTATTAAACTTTAATAGAATATTACAATACTTTAGAATTCTGTTGATATACGAACGATATACATAATTATATATATATTTAAAAACCAAACTACGTGAATGGATCTTTGATTTACGCTCACAATTAACCGAATCAACTTACCTCTGAAAGCAAAGTAATCGTCATCTCCTCTAGTAATATAAGATTCAGATCCTGGCCGATATGAAAAAAACCTGTCTTCAATATCTTTACTCCATAACCCGTCATCACTTTCTGGTTCGATTTTCACATCCTCTTTCCTCAACGCATCTTTATCGATTGCTATCGATTCGCGTGCTTCCTTGAGAAACTTTTCTCTTAGATCTGGTCGCCGAAGCTAAATCAGCCAATATTTATCAACGAAGCATTTGTCGATTTAGCGAATGTGTCATAAGCGGCGCATCAACTATTAACAATGGCTTGTAGTCTGAGCTCACAATTTCTTTCAAGGGAATGTCCTCTTTCGTCTCTCGTGATTCATTTTTGACTAGTCGTCCGTCTGGGGTATATCGCTCAGTTGGTTCGTCATACTTTCGGTTTGAACGATAGTGTCTGTATGACATTTTAGTTATTCCTATGTTCCTAGCCAAATATTTTACGGACTGATTGTTACTGTATTGCACTAGTGCGCAGAAATTAAAGTTGAGGTTAAACAACCCAAATTAATCAAAATCAACGATAAAAACTCCTTTTGGATGCGTCCATTAACAGTCATTGAGGTGGCTATTCTAGCATGGCCATAGTTTAATAAATGTGACAGATTAAAACGACATCAGATTAAATATAAACAGACTTTTTTTCCTACTTTAGTATGATAATTTAAATTTTTTTGGTAACGCTTTTTTTGGTGATAAAAGAATATGTGCACCCAATTTCGTTTTAATCCGATGTCGTTTTAATCCGCCACAATAAATAACTCAATGTCATAGTTTATGGGCCAAAATTCTGTCTATGCAATTTGTCAAGATTGTGATCGAGTTTGTATTTCATCCGAGTATTCGCTAGAGCAATTTACACGCGTGGAAAAGTCTATGCTATTATACATTCTCGTTTTTTTTTGTTCACGCCTTAGTTGGTATTCGATCTAAGTATGGACGAATTGCTGCAAACAACTTATTTTTTATTTCAATCAAATATAAAGTGAGTCACATATTGTACTATTCTAAAGAACTCACTAATGAACATGCGGAGCCATAGATTACATTGAATCCTTTGACATACCCACTCCATAAGGAACGTATTCTTAAGTTCCTTATTATTATCAACCTGAAACAACCAAGTAAATCAAAATCTTATGTACTCTTATTATTATTTATTTTCTAACTTCTTGTTTCGTAAATTCATTTAGTCGTTCGTCATACCGACTTTGAAAATTTAGCCATTTGTTTGGGTCGCATGACTACGCCCATAGTGTTATAAAAGATTGTTTCCATACCCCACCCCCAATTTTTTAGCGGGCAATTTGCCCCGCTAAAATGGACGCCAGAAAGTGAACATGCAATGTGAGCATGCTACTTTACGCAATCAGTTCAGAAGATATACAACATGCCTTGTGAGGCATAACAGCATGATAATAATAGGATTTACCAAGTATGAATAATAAGTTCATGGTTGCTAGAGACACTTTCAACGTTGTTGGATTCTCACGACATGCAGAGTACTCAAATGTAGTACCGCGTGGTGTATTTGTGGAAAGTAAAGAATCATCAAATCGGTGGACGAGCAACATTAAGAAACTTGACGAATTTAAGCAAATACAAACAAAACTCGGCAAATGGAACGGGTTGAGAAATATGACGCATACCTATATAGTCTAGCTATTACTACTTATCCTTATTATTATGTGAAATTAATCCCACTTGAGATGGTTGAGATATATTATGACAAGGTAAACTATTCAATTATAAATGTAACATATTTGATAGTTGTTGTATACTTACCGACTTGTTGTATTTGATTTCTATTAGTTCCATCTGGTCCGTGCTGATCAATCTTGTTGTAATCGGATTTCTCTACCCGACCGCTTTTCTAGAATAATTAGTGATTGGCTTTCACATATAACTAAGGATATGTTGGATTTCGCCTGCGACCAATTACGCGACAATATAACGCCGAACAACTTTGAAAGCTGGTTAAACTTGCGATAAAACCACACCACTATTGGGGAAAATAATCATCCGCAAAAGCGACAAGATCCCTTGGACTCCCAAGGTAGTAGAATCGTTGAAGATTATAGCTCAAGCGAAACAGAACGTATCGCACGCTTTGCATTTGGTTATGCTTCTGCAAGAAAGTAAAATGCGTTTACAACGCTAACTTTATGAACATCGGGTGATGGATTCTTTCCCAACACTCGCGAAACGATTTCTTGGAGTCAATCATAATGGCATCATGAAGTAATACGTCTGAAAGACGACATTAGTCATCATGACATGCCTTATTTTTGGGATAATGTATAGAATTAACAATGTATGCTTTTTTTAAACAAGCACGTACATATTCGCTGTTACTTTACCATTACAATATGTCTGACATTATAAAGTATATATAATAATATTGGTAAAAATAGTTGCAACGAGTTTAGCGACTTATTAGACGGCGATGGTATACAGCTTAATCTCAAATAAACTTAATATGCCATCGATTCTTTTATTGATCTAACTGGACGAGCGTTTGTATTCAATTGTGACCGGATGATGTTGACACGCGTCTTATTAAAGAGTAGAAACTGATTATTGAAGGCTCTCCTTAACCTCAATGGCTTGACACCACACTCGCTAATTCAGGTTAGACACACAGCGAAGATTTTTTTTAAGCACCGTTTAATAACAACGACGTGGGAATAGAATTGCTATTAGAGCAACAGTTAGTGCGTCACATAAACTCAGACGCGTCATTCGAAGAATTCTTATTCCAGCTCCCAGCGAATGAGTTCCGTCTTCAATACATATGGACGGTAGACTAAATTTAATTTCACACTGGAGATATTATACTAGAAACTGACTACACTCTCTTCAATGAGAGAATTATATAATAGCTTTTTTGCCACTCCCTCAGATAACGAGCAACCTAGTTTCATTGCGCAAGATCATTCTGGCATTCCATCATCTAATACCAAGGTTCTAGTTCTATTTATGTGGTTAAAATTCTCTATTATTGCAACTATGTTACCATGACAAGTCAAAATTAGGTTGGCGGTTTTATAACTATAACTTTGCAATAGAGCTTTATAAATGTTCAAGTTGTACTATTACTATTACTATTACTATCAGAGAAAAGAAAAGTGTGAAATATTTACTTAATGCTAATGGAAGGTGTGATTGACAATAACGCGTATAATTCGCGAATTTTTAATTGTACGTGTAAAAGCCGTGAATGAGTCTCTGACATGTTAATATTAATATTAATCGTTAAAAATGTAAACTTCTTCCGCATGTAGAGACATTTTCAGCAAGCTACATGAAATCACACGTTCTTATTCTGCAAGTGGTCCTGAGATGGAGCGTTCTATACTTTGTACTATATATTCGTTAACGTTGGGTTTTTTGGTTAAATTTTGCAATTCACCCATTTTGATGCTTAATATTGAAACCCTACCACAACATTCTCTTTCAACTGAGCAGTATGTTCATCGAAACTAGTGAAGGTTTATAATGTATAGGTTATTTATACAATGGAATAGAACGTGATTCACGTAGATATAAATTATTTAGCTTGTAGGTGTTTTAGACTAAATCATTATTAATAAAGGCTTTACTCGTTGATCAAAGTCATGTGAAATCTAAGATTGATTTTTTTCTCTGAATGTGGTCTTTCTCAGTACAAGTTCCCATTAAAAGACAGCTATTCCGCTACCTATCAAGGGCACCTTTACCGGAAAAAAAGCGAATTGATATTGGACAATATTTAATTCCACTAAAGTCATCCACTGTTTCTTGCTATCTCTCACCAGGATCATACACAGGAAAAAGGTCAAAAATGGCAACATTGATTGACGGCAAAGAATTAGCAAAGTAGGCGATCGAAAAAACAAATCTCGTAATATTCATGTATGTCAACAGCTATCGCTAATATACCTAAGATCTATTCGCGAGAAATTAAAGCAAGAGATTATAGATCTTGCACAGAAATATCCCGGCTTCAGACCGCATCTTGCCATTATTCAAGTCGGATTAAGAGAAGATTCTACTGTTTATGTGAAACAAAAGGAAAGAGCTGCAAATGAAGTAAGAATTTCTTGCTCATTACAGTTTATGGGTTTTCCCCTTGAAGTAACTAACTGTGCGTCCTCTGATAGATCGGGATTGAAATTACTTTACATAAGAAAGACAGCACTATTAGTCAGAACGAGGTACAAATTGTGCACCCGGAAACTAACTTGAAATTTTGTTGTTCAACGCACTGATTTAGTCAGTCGACTCAATTCCATGAACATTTAGCTTTTGAATGCCGTGAATGAGCTAAATAATAATCCATCAGTACACGGACTTTTAGTTCAACTTCCATTACCAGAGCATATAGATGAAAAAGTAATTACAGAAGCAGTGGATCCAAATAAAGATGTGGATGGGTAAGCAATACTAATAATAGTGACATGACAAAGTATGCAAGTCATATATTATTGACTTGAAAAAAATTCATCCATTATGTTTGCCTCATTAGTTTCCATGTATATAATATAGGGAATCTTGCTAAACGTCACAATACACCCACGTTCTTACCGTGCACACCAAAGGGCATTATCGAAATGCTTAAATTTATAGGTAATCCGCATTCCCATCTTTAAGTGCCACGTTGAAAATTCCCTCACCTAACGTTTTGGCGCTCCTTTGCAGGTGTGGAAATCGCTGGTCGACGTGCTGTTGTAGTTGGCAGAAGTGATATTGTGGTATGTGATATCGTTTACCAGTAATACTATGGTTGCAATATTGATAATCATATATACTATATCGTTCGCAGGGATTCCCCATGTTTATGCTTCTAACAAGAGCTGATGCCACAGTAACACTTTGTCATTCTAAAACACAAGATCTACCAGAAATAGTATGTATTATGTTGACATTGTATTTATTTTTTAAATAATTTTAACAATTTCTCTTACTGCTTATTGTAGCTAAAGACAGCTGATATTCTCGTGGTTGCTATTGGAAAACCCGAGTTCATTAAAGGTGAATGGATTAAACCTGGTGCAGTTGTTATCGATGTCGGAACAAATGCTATTGAAGGTTTGTAAACAAGCTAATGTCGTGCACCTACATTTGGTGAAATAATTATTTATTATTTCTTCTATTGATGTTCGTGCAGATAACTCGAGGGTATCTGGTGTTCGATGGGTTGGTGACGTTGACTTTGTGTCAGCATCGAACGTAGCCTCTTACATAACTCCAGTTCCAGGTGGAGTAGGTCCAATGACTGTAGCCATGCTTTTGGATAATACGGTTCAAAGTGCAAAGAAATTTTGGAGCATAGACTAGCTCTATCTCCTACGTTCACATCATTAATGGCTGATCTTAACCAACAGAGTTCCAGCATTGACAACATCGCCTTCCTTAACAAGGATGTTCACAATTCCATCATGTCTAGAATAAAGCCTAACTTCGATCTTCATAGACTCTATCGTCAGTAATGGATCATTCTTTTTTACTCTTGAGCCGGATTTAACAAGCAGTCGGAGAATTTTGCATGGCATTGGGGCTGTATACGGAGACACTGGGAACATTAAACCGCGGAAAATATCTTTTAGTGTTATAATAACGTTGCACTAAATACTACATCAAGGTCTGTTACTCACAATCATCCTCTTCTTGCTTAGATAGCGATATCATACGGGATATCCGGGTAAACTTTATCTGTGAAGAGAAATCCTTACTGTGCATGTAAACGTGTTCCGATTTCTCGCCTTGATCTCCATTTGCAATATAATAAATACGCTGTATTCCACCTAAGAAAACAAGCGAAAAGCTTGAAAAGTGCACTTCAAATCCACTCGACATTATTTATCAAACAAAAGAATATACCGATTGAACAGCGGACGGTGCCGTATAGATATCCTAAATACACAAGTATTATTAAAGCGCTTGAAATCAAAACGACACACTTATTGACACGACTTACGATCTCCTTGAACGGTTGCATCGTGTAATATCACGGGCTGCCTAATTTTTTCAGACCTGTCACCACTACTAAGCTCAACGCTAAACTTGTAATCCTTATTTCCCTTCACATCTAACTTGCCCTCATATTTGTAATCTATCTCGACTTCTCTTCCATTGACTTTGTATTTATCGGCCGGATTCTTATAATTAACATAACGCCATCCAGACGGAATGTGCCTCAACGTGGTCCTTTGTCGTTCACGCAGATACCACAACCATAGAAACGGGATGACAGACAGGTCATCTGGAACCAATGCTTCATTTTTGATAGCATTCTGAGAAAATAATTCGTCAATGAGGTTCGTATTGTAGAATCCACTTGCGAATTGTTTACTAGAGACAATGCTTGATAGGAACAGTTGGTTGGTGACTAGTCCAAGAACGATGGTGTTCTGCAGGGCAAGAGTCATATTGTGAAGAGCCTCGCCGCGTGTCGCGCCAAAGACTGATATTTTAGAAATGAGCGGGTCATAGTACACTTCTACCTCCGAACCTACAAGATCGAGTATCGGTTAGCAAATAATAACTTAAAATCATCGTCTCTTTATGATAGTACCTGTTTCAATACCAGTATCGTATCTTACATTAGGTGTATCAGCTTGTTGCCAATAACAGATCCTACCAACGGCAGGGCTGAAATTGTTTGCTGGATCTTCCGAGTACAGTCGACATTCGATTGCGTGACCCTAGTTAAAACATCAAGTACATCATTATATAATATAGCGACAGCATTCATAAGAGAGAAAAAAGTTATATCCAATGTACTTTTATCCTTAGTGTGGGCAATTTCGACTGTGATAGATCATAACCTAAGGTTTAATAATAATGAGATTCATAGTAATATTCTGGTAACGCTGCACACTCAAACTACTCTACCTTGCGCCACTCGTATTTGCAAATCGACCAAATCTAATCCCGTAATTAATTCTGTAATTGGATGCTCAACCTGTAATCGCGTATTCATCTCAAGGAAATAGAACCTGTCTTTCTCATCCTGTAACGATTAGATTAGTTCTTGATAATAATAACACCTTCGTGTTTAGCTACAACAGGTCTAATTCATACCAGAAGAAACTCGATTGTTCCTGCTCCTTCGTATTTCAGTAACTTTCCAATATCGATAGCAGCTTTCGTCATCCTTTCTCGTACTTTTTGAGTAAGGACAGGACAGGGTGTCTCTTCAATCACTTTTTGGTGCCTTCTTTGAACTGAACAATCGCGTTCGAACAGATGATAAACATTGCCGTATTTGTCTCCCATCAGCTGGATCTGTTTATAATATTAACATTTGGGAACTACCCGCTCGTATGTGACATACTGCTACTGAATCATTCAGCATACCTCGACATGTCGTATAGATTCAAAGTATTTTTCAATTAATAATATATCTGATCCAAACGCGTGGAGAGCTTCCGACTTTGCTAGCGCAATCTCTTCGCGCATTCTACCAATAGACTTATTGATAAATACTTATTCGATGCAAGACATCGATGACAATGATTAAGAAATAACGTAAAACCATAGAACATACTTAAATTCATCGTGAACAACCCTCATCCCTCTACCACCTCCCCCAGCTGATGCTTTCAAAAGCACTGGAAATCCTAATACCATAAAACAAGATGGCATCATAAGAATGAAATAACTCGTTGGAAATCGTACCAAATTAGTCTAGTTTTTATCTTACCAATTTTCTTTGCTTCAACAATCAATGTTTCAACGTCCTGATTTGCTCCATTGTATCCAGGAACCAGTGGAACCGATGGCAACTCTTTTGCCAAGAGATTTTTGGCGGCAGTCTTGCGAAATAATGCGATAAGTTCAAAGCCAAATGTCAATAGAATGGTATATTATTATATCAATCCGTTTCATTACACTCTGCTTACTTTTTCACCGACTAATCTAATTGCGCCTGCAGACGGTCCGATAAAAATCAGTCCCGAACGTTCTACTGACTTGGCAAAGTCGGCATTTTCTGATAGAAATCCGTATCCGGGATGTATTGCGTCCGCTCCAACACGCTTTGCAGCTTCAATGATTTTATCACCGCAAAGGTAAGATTCTGGTGCTGGAGATGTGCCTATGTAGATGGCTTCATCGGATAGTTTAACGAATAGAGCATCTCTATCACTATGGAAAGTATATTAGCGGATAAGGCAAATAAGCTACTTCCCATACGCTATCTCTTCTATATATGGTGGGATGTAAGTGACCGCATAAGTATGCTAACACATTCACCTGTCAGAATAAACAGCGACATTCACTATGCCTAATTTTTTGCATGTTTTAATGATGCGGCATGCAATCTCTCCACGATTAGCAACCAAAATTTTGGAGATTCGTTTAATATCCATTAAGGAAAATAATCGTACATGAAAATAATTAGTACAGTCGACCTATCCCCTTTATAGTCACTGGTATTGTATAACATTCAAGGTTTAGTGTTTATATTTCCATATTCAGCATAAAGTGACCGGAAGATGCATGCATAATTACATGATTGTTGCTTTAAAAATCACCATACATTAATTCTCCTCATAACCAAAGCTTATTTAAAACAAGACCTCAACTGAGCCTCGACGTGAGATTTGTGATGTGAATATGTTAAACAACATCCAATAGCGAACTAGTTAATGAGAAATCCATACTTTCTATAGAGCATCTACCGTTAACAATCAAAGCATCAATAACAAATTGACACCTACTTTTAAGAATTAGCATCAATGTTATTTCAAAAAGCGAGAGTTGATTATCTAAATTTTGGCATGTTCTAATAATATAAATAT